CAGCTCAAAAGGGGAAGCTTCAATCACAGAAAATGCCTCACTCACATCGAAAATTCTGTATTTCTCCATCTCATACAACACCTTGCAACTCACACAAATATTACAAGAATATCATTGTACTTCAGCTTGGCACCAAAATCAGTGTCAAGTCTTTTTTTTTTTTTTATCGTGTTGCTGCACTGTCCCACATAGAAAGCAAACATGTAGAGTTTTCATTAACTAAAACATCCTGTAATTGAATTTAAAAACAAAATATTTAGAATTTTGAAGTGGACTGTGTTAATATGCCTGTGCCTCAATAAAACCATAAATCTTCATGCTTTCACTCTATACTTTATTTTGCATGTTTTATACCACAGCCAGTAAAATAGCTTTTCAGCCTTTTATGTGTGATTTCCAAATGAATTCAAAAGAAATCCCATACTCTTTTGAACACCTAGTTGACCAGTAACACTGAAGTCCAATGCACTTTATTTCACAGATGTATTTGAAAAGTGATCCTTAACAAAGCAATGTGAAGAGAAATGCAGACATTTGTTTCACTTGCCAATAGCTCAGAGTCAACAGAAAAATAAAATTAAAATAAAAACCACAGTGCACCACACTACAGTGTATGCCAAACAGACCACAGAGGAATGACCATACATAGTCTTGGTCTAAGTCACACATAGAAAGACTATTAAGCAGAGAGTTTACCACTATGCAAGGGTATGATTCCCTATATTTCCCACAGAATTTTACAGAGACATTTGAAGCTCAAAAAAGAGACTGGCTACAGGACACCAAAGGACAGTGCCAGCTTTCTGAAATACCCCAGAGACAACAGCATGCTAACTTGTCTGGATTCTGAAAGATGAATTTCAAGGGATAGCTCCAAGGTAAGATCAACCACTGGCAGACACTTAACGACCTGAAAAAGCAGCCCCCCTCTCTCACAGGGTGCTGTAACTCTACATCCTCTACTTCATGAAGGCAAAGGCCATGTTTCCAGTCTAATGCCAATAATTAGGTAGAATATGATGCCTGTACTGTGAAGGGTTAAGCACACTCTACTTTTTTGTCTGAAATCCAAGCCCATTGATTGATATGATACGCTCCATCCCAATTCACTGAACTCGGGTTGCATCCAAAGAAATCAGGGGAGCAGAAGCATTGCCATCTGTAGCATCATCCCAGTGAAACAACACCTCAATTTAATCATGCTTGTAAGATTCCTTTACCACAAGGACTTTTCAGAATGTCACCCTTATTTTAAAATCCTGAAGCCAGACTTCACAACTGAGAACTGATAATGGACTATATGTAATTCTGAGAACCATCCTATGTGTGATGAGCAACAGTACGAAACTTATTTTTGCAGTAAATTCTACATTCTACATTGCACCTTGTATTACAAATTTATCATGTTTTATATGTGAAGCTATGCATATGAGTATATGCATATGCAATATCAGTAAAGAGAACAGTCACCATTTTGGAACATGTGTTGGAGAATGAAACCAACTCTTACTCACTAGTGAAGAAACTTAAAAATTCTTAGCAAAATTATTAATAATTTCATTATATACAATGTATGAACATTACATTAATATGGTACTACTACGTTTGCATAAACGTCATAAACAAAATTTGAACTAGAAAAAACGCACCTGACTCACCAGAGTTAGCATTTCTGCAGTATTGTAACAATCTTATTTTAGGTACTGGTTTGTAATGCAATTTGTTAGGCCTAACCAAAATTTGCTGAATTGGGTATAGTGGTTTTGCTTTCTTGAAGACATTTAGGAATAAATATGGATACTACCAAATATACTCTCTTTGTTCATCAGGGCTATGATACCCACTACTGTAACTGTACCAGAGTAAGAAATAACAATTGACTGAATTTTATAGCATATTATTATACAAGGATATGACACTAAAGAAGCATCTTCCCAGCTTCAGGCAACTATGTTTGTCAGCATCATGAAGCCTTGACAGATATAAAATTACTGAAATTTTACAGAAAAAGCACTGCTACATTTTTACTTCCATTACTCTCTATGTAACATTACAAGTTCTTACTTTTTTCTTTTCCTTACTATCTTTATTGGATATACCCTTTATGGATCTAGCTGTGAAACTTCCTGAAACACTTAGAAGCTTACCCAATACATACAAAAAAGTCCAAACTATTTCTTCCAACATACAAAATTATCCTTATTACACTTCTTGGTCACCTTTCATTAGGTTCCCTGGTTAAAAATGGTAAAGTGCAGAAGGATCATCTTATAAAATTCTGCAGACATTCACTAACTAGGCTGCCCAGCTGTTTCTACCACAGCACTTGCCACTTGTGTGACTCAAGTACCTCAGGGATTATTCTGTATTTCATTGATAGTTTTTATTTAGTGTGAGAACCCCAGCCTTGCTTTGGGGCCTCATGTGGTGGTGAAATTCCTCCTCCAACCCGTGCTTCCAAAGAAAAACTCCGCAGGCTTAGCTGTTCGGTCTCAAGGCAGTTTATTGCTAGTTATCTAACAGATTATGTTCTTGGACTGCGGCTCTTTGATCAGCGGCCTGGGTAGAGGCACACACACACCCTGACATCCTCTCTATCTACTGTCTTCTTCGTCTCTCTCCCCACCAAGGGCTGCTGCTATCTTTTATAAAATATATTACGTATAACATGTTTACAATTATTCCCCAATACCTACTACCTACGTTGCCAAGTGTTTTTCTACTCTAAACCAATCTGTGAGTGCCAACATCACCAAGAACATGGAGGTAAGGAAGAAGAAGGAGGAAGAACAGGATCAGCCCACTTTCCTCCATCTTAGAACTTCTGACCTCCATGTACAAAGTAAAACCCACCCTGTACATGTTCTAAAACCCCCCTGTACAATACTAAAAAAATTTCCCCTCTACTTCGTAACTACTTATACTATACTATCTACCTTTTGTGATTGCTTGTTCCACCTCCAAAGTTGGTAATTCATTCCATGGCTCAAACTCAAAATCACAGTTGTTTTTCAGCTGTCTGCCAGGGTCTAGAATGCTTCTGACCAAGGCCTGGAACCTCTAAAAATGTCTGAGAGACATTTTGAGTTCCCACAATTTAGGGGAGTATATGACTGACTTTACAAATAGTATCCCATCACTGATTGGAGCCATACTCAGCCTGATTTATTAAGGAACACAGTCCAAAAGGGAGAGACATCCTTTTCACCCATTCAGACAGGGTCCACCCTGCCCCCTCCCATGGAAGACCTGTGTGTTCCATTATCCATTATGTCGACGCTAAAATAGTTCAACCCAGCAGGATTTACTTCTCTTGGAGAGGACTTCAGCAACAGTGGCTTACAAACTTAGAAAACATTGAGTCTGCTTTTTAGCTCTCATACAGAATTAAGGAACTCCTTAGGCCCTACAGCTGCAGGTGGATGACAGACTTGTGGGAATGGCCTTGTGTCAGCCTATTAAAAATACAGAGGTATCCCAATTTATACCGTTGGTAGTGGTCAAGAGATTGCAAGACAACAAAGAGAGAAACACCTATCAGCAACTAAAAAGGATGAGTTTTAACTACCATCCATACATCTTTCAAATATCAGTCATTTTCAAGTTGCCGCACAACACACACCTCTGCAGAACCATTTGTAGAATTCCACTTACATTGAATGTGCTTGTCTCAATTCTGCTGTCTTTAAAAAAAATGGAGAACTGCTGCAGCCAGTAAAAGCATATGCGTTCCTCTATGGCATTCAAAATCTATTTTAATTAGCCTACTCTACGGAGGTTATATAGTATATCTTAAGGCTAGTTACAAATTAAAATAGAATATTCAGCTTTTTGAAAACAAGAAATAATTCACACCAAGGCAGACAAGTATGTGTATTTTCAAGTTTGAAGACAAACTGGTTCAGTTTCAAGCCATAATGAGAATGCAGCTCCAAACACAGAGTATCTCCTGTGTCATGCTGTAAAGCAGGCCTGTTCTATTGTACGCCTTCTAAATTAACAGCCTTTGCATGCCCTAAGGGACCAGTCATTAAAAGGTCACTTCTGAAGTAAATTACCTTCTACCTCACAGGAAGTTTCTACAAAGTAAAAACCTAATGCTGACACCTCCCCACAGCAAGGCATTTATTGTCTGCTCCAGAGAGAGCAGGCAGGATTATGAATCTGATGGCAATAACAGAGACACAAATCAGAAAACAGAATGGAACGGGAAAGGCTGGGAAGAATACCTCTACCATGCATACTACACCTCTAGCCATAAGCACAAATAATGGCACCAAACAAGGTTTCTCCTACCATACCTTCTCTATATGTCTCTGTGAAAGATGCTTGTGAAAACCAAAGTTTGCTAGGAGAATGATCAAAATCCTAATTTTAATAATAAAATTAAAGAGCAACTCATACATGAAACAGAGGAGAAGGCACAGTAGATAAACACTTTCAGGAAAGCAAATTTCCATTAAAATGTCCCTCTTCTTGGTAAGCCTACTACTTGGCAATAAATTCTCCTCATGACAGTGAGATTCTAGGAACTCCTCCTCTTCCACAGAATTGCCATTAACAGAACTGCCTCTTTTAGCAAAAAAATAAGTAACTCTCTGATATCACTGCAACCCTTTCATGGATTTACTGAACTCTCTAACACCTTAAAACAAAGACTTAGAGTGTGAAATAGAAGCATTTCAATCCATTTCCTTTTCTCTCAAAAGAAAGATGAATTTCTAAAGAACATCAAAAGAGTAATATTATTTATCAATATCTCCCATATGCTCATTGTCATAATGTTGACGATTAGTAACTGACTAGACTTGAATAGGCAATACAATTCAACTAGAACACACATAAGCTTGAACATGGCCATCAGCATCCTTCAGTTTGGACAATCTGCCAATAGACAGGAAAAAGAGGGGAAAACACAAATTTGGTGCACCGTTCCACAGACTACAAATACTCAATACAACACTGAGTAAAGTATTAAGCAAAACCAAACAAGCACTTACGTCAGACTTAGAGGACACGTTTTCCTCCATGTCAGAATCACTGGGATCTACAATATCATCAAAGGGTGGCAGAGTAGACGTCTTCCTTTCCAGTGCATCATTTTCAATTTTGACTCTCCCCACCTTGAGCTGAGATTTATCTTTTGTCTGCTTTTTGTCAGCTGAACAAGTAAGAATCAGTGGTGGGGCACTAGGAAAACTTTTAAATAATGAATCTGAGCTGGGTTTTTTTCTTTTTCTTACAGAAGATTCATCAGTGTCCAGCACAGAGGGCCTTTTTGTGAGAGTCTTCTTTTCTTGCTGCTGCCCACATGTTATGGAAAGGATGGGAGTGTTTTCAGATTTTGGTTCCTTGGACATGGGTTTGGGCTCCTTGAAGGCCATCTTAGGAACCATTTTTTCATCTTTTAGTGGTTTATTTTCTTTGGGTTTCTTAGAGGATTCTTTGGAAGATTTGTTATGTTCCCTGGAAGGTTCTTTGAAGGCACTTTTTTGTTCTTTTGAGTCTTTAGAATTTTTTTCTTTGTGCTCCTTTGTTAACTTCTGGGTCTTTGAAAAACTGTTACTACTGCTGCTGCTATTTATGTTCAGAATCCTAGCTGGGTCCTGAAAAGAGGAGATGCAAAATTTTACTTTAAAATAAAGAGAAAGAAATCTTAAATCCTCAAATGGCAGAGACAATATGGACATAGGATTCATATTAAACACTTGGAACTGGGCGAGTAACCAGAAGTAGAAATAACCATATAAGAACAGACAGAAAGCCCAACATTTGGTCAAAACATCTATTACAAACTGGTAGAACATGAGCAGTTATCACTGCTTGTCAAAAAGTTATAATAAAAGCTAGTTTTTATCCTAGGCATTATACCTGTCTTTTTAAAAAACATTGTATGGTAAACATAAAGGCATTTAGGAAATCTTTATCATCACCATTAGTTATGAGAAAATTAAAATCACAAAGAAAAATTAAGATATGAACCATATGATATCAACAGAATTACAGGATCAGAGGAAACATGACGACATTTCAGGCAAAGTTTGACTTCTCTGCTGTGATCTTCCAGTTTTTGCCAGATCCTTTTCCTCATAAACAATAGCAGTCCTGGGTCCAGCCCGGCTATGGAAGAATGGATTGGACAGACAACAGTCATTGCCATTTTATGGAAAACCTCCTAAAGCTGAAAAGGCTTCCTTCTTTGAATATACTGGCAACTCTGCTGAGTCTTTAATTACTTTTTTTTTTTTTTATTGAACTGTTGTAAGTGAGAAGTGTTTCTCAGAAGGTGGTGACTCAGACATGCTACAGGAGAGGCAAAACCAGAAACAGCAGTGCAGAATCATTCCTCACTCAGTTGAATCTGAAAAGTTGAAGTGGCAAGGCAAGAGGTCACCTGAAGCTAGAACTGGCAATAAAGGAACCATCCAGAATCGGTCATACAGGATCCTTTTTTCTGACAACACCTGGGAATATTTAAACAGGAACAGTTCTAGCACTGCCCACTTTGATGGAAACTGCCAGCGATGGGCTCTCAGTATCTCAAAAACACCCAGTAGACTAACTGCACTGTTTTAAACACTAAACATGTGACACATATACACAAGACAGGGTCCATTTTTATACTTCAGATCTGCAAAGTGATGTTCCAATTTACAGGAACTCATGGTCAAGAAGTTTACACTGCTTACTTTTTCTTCAAGGCTGGTTATAAGTATTATAAAGCACACTTTAATGTGTATTGCATACACCCATTGATTTCCTTTACCTAGAAGAGACATGTATATAAATGTGTTGTATCTGGCTGTATAAAACTGCCACACATTTACAGATTTGTAGAGAGGAAAACATATTTAGCTTATCTTCCACCTTTACTTAACTATCTTTTTATCCAGAACACAGACAGAACTGCAGACGTGGAGCAGAAAGTAAAGGACCAAAGCAGAACATGACCAGACTCATCCCCCACAAGGACTAATTTTTAAAAATGTACAGAGTACAATTGATCTGAAAAAAAAGCTATCCAAGAAAACAAAGCAAAATTTACATGTTAAAGGAAGTTGTGTCAATTAGAAGAGAAAGAACGACTGAGACTACATCCACTGATGTGCTTCCTGTTCATAGATAACTTGTCCAATAAAGATGTGTTAAGTCAGTGTTTAATAATCTAGTACCTGAAAAGTCTACATAAAACATGTGCAGAAACTGCAGTATCGTGCTTCTCCTCTGTAACAATAGGTAGAAATAATTAGCTAAAAATAATTACTTAGAAATGTTCTTCCATTCTCATTATCTTATTTAGTGAAACAGTCACAGTGCTGCATAAATTATTAAATTGCATGTTTTTATAAGATGCTTATTGCATCTGAACTATAAATATATTTTTGTGTCAGATTTGGTAAACTAACTATATATTTATATAACATATAAAGCAGCATTAACATTGGCCAGAAGCATCAACAATGAACAATACTATAATGACATCTGAATGTCTAAATATAAGGCACTTCCTCAACTCCCAGGCCAGCAATTAAAAAAACAAAAATAAAAAAGCACTTAGCATTCCTTGACATGTTTTACTTGAGTCATAAGACTTTTCCTGGCGTTCTTCTTTAAGTTTAAAAAAAAAAAAAATTACTATTTCCTTTGATGCAAGACCAGCACCAAAAGTTGACTTACGAACTAATTATTAATGCTTCTAGTGTCACATCATGTTCTATCATTCCAGAGAGGTGTTGCCCTGGGGAGGAATAAAATATGTGTCATTACTAAACTAGATAGAGAAATTATCTCTCTTACTGGTCTCCTTATAGCACACTATTTTATATATAGCACATATATTTTACATTTCAGAAGGAAAGTCTCATTTTAGAAGTTTTCCAACAGATGAGACTTGTGGAAATGGTTCTGGGACACAGTAGTATTAAAACCAAAAGAAAGTTGATATCTGTATTTTCAGTTTCAAACCAGACTTTTTTCACTCTCCTACAACATGGAAGCTGATATTTTCACAGAAATCATAGTACAAATATATGACATACTTACAAGATTTATTTATACACCCCTCTCACATGCTTTCCTAGAATTGCCCTTTCTTAAAGGAAGCCAACCCAGCTTTTATATCTGTATTCATTTTCTAAGTAAAAAGACTATCTTTCCTTATTTAATTTCTGCAATGACCCAAAAAGATGCCAACAATGACAGAGGAGACAGCTATAGAAACATGAAATCTTTAAGACAGATTTCAGATTTAATTTCTGTCTTTTTTTAAGACAGAAAAAAAAGGTCAAATTGTATCCATCAGTAAGTTATATCAAACCTGATGATGAACATGGGATGCTGATGGGGATGAAAAGTCACTGAATATTCATACCACATACCAGCATGTACCATGTGCCAGCACAGATAATAATAAAAATTAGAATGCATTTTCAAACCATTTCCTTATTTATTAGAATCATACAGTGTGTTTAAATATTTCTTTCCACCTTATTAAGTGTTGCAAGAAATAAAAATAAATTGAGTAAAACACTTTTCTCAACACTCTTTTCACATGAAAAACTGGGATCATGGAGTTTTGACAGGTAATACATCTGCATACTGTAGATTACATTTGTGTATTCATCAAATATTGAAGCTCAAATCAATGTTAGCCGTTGATATGTTGCATAACAAGCAGTGTGCAAAAGAATAATACAGGTACATAGGCATTTCAAAATACCTGCAGATGTCATCTTCAGCCAAGTCACACCATGTACATACAGTACCTCATGATACATTGTACTGCTCTATGAAAGGGGCTAATGTATCCTTCAAAATATGTATTTTAGAAAGCACAATAAAAATCTAAAATTTTATCAGCAAATAAAGCCTGTGCTACTCTGACTGCGGTACTCAGCTCCTGCTCTTATTTTGGCCAGCACAGCTCATGCTAAGGCCCAAGATACATTCTGGCAGCATACAGAGCACATTTAGCTAGGACAGGTGACCAGAAAAGCTAACAGGCCATTATGCTGCCATGATCATCTGGAAATTGCTATCTCCTACAGCCACCATCTTTGCCAGTTTCATCACCATCTTCTAACTTACAGGAATTACATAAACCATACCGCCAATCTGGAAGGCAGAAAACATCACCTTATCAAAAAAAGCCCAACTTTTGACATTGATTCCCTAGCAGCTGGATTGCTCAGGCTTTCACACTTCCCACTGTGAAACCGGGCATGCCACACTGTGACAGAGAAGAAAGGATCAAGCACTCTCACACTCAGCTCTCAGCTAGGTAACTTTATTTTTTTGTGGATCCCAAGTGCATGGATTAAGAGTTACAGGTTATAAACTAAGAAACTTTGTGATTTGGGAGGTAAATTCACTTTATAGACTAATCTGGGCAACGGGAACAAATTGTTTGTTGTGTTTTTGTATTTCTTAATGAGGTAAATTCATGAAATTAAGTTTAAATCACAGAGTACACTGTCCTGTAAATTTGAGAGACACAAATGAACTGTGATAGCTGCCCAGTAGGTAATATATTTGCAGATTAAAACAATTCTGTAACTACAGGGGAAAAAATGATGCTGAACTGTACATGTTACAGTTCTGACTTCACACCACAAAATGGAATTCCCAATTTGTTTTAATGTGAGATTGAATAAGCAGTAACTTCTGGAAACCATTACAAACCTCAACTGCTGACAGGCGTTAATAACCTAACTAAGAAATTGAACACTTGGGAGGGATGGGGGAAGCAGAGGGGCAGGGGCAGTTCATTATATTTTATGAAGTCATTAAATTGAACACATTGGCATAGCCTTGTCAGACTACTGTACCAAGTTTAAATTACAAATTTAGTACTAGTGATCATAAAAATGTGCATTATATTAATTTCTAATTAGAAAATATTATGCCTATTGAAATAATGTGTTCATATTAAGCCAGTGGATTAGAATTAGTCTCTTGAGAGCTGCTCTCAAGAGGAAAACAGAAAGATATCTAAAAGTAATTCCTTCATCAAGTAAATTCAGATCTCTGTTGAATACAAACTTGTTTATTACTGAATAGAAATATTAGTTGATTTGGGTGGGGGTGGGGAGGGCAGCAAAAAAAAAAAAACAAGAAAGAAAACCACATTTTGAGAGCCTCCAAAAATACTCTGAGATAGGAGATGAATTTACCTGCTTCCCACGAAAACCCAGCCCACCACACTGTTATGGTCAATGACATCAGAAGTATCAGAAGCAGATGGAGAATTACAAAACTCTCTGGTTTAACAGTGAAGGCTAATTGGGGGAGCATAAAACAATTTATATTTTTTCTAGTCACACACAGAAATAAAAGCTTTTGTTTCCTTTGCTTATAAAATAAATCTCATTTCTCTACAGCTAATACTACAGTTCTTGGAAAAAGACATAATCATCCCCCTGAAAAACCTAACCAAGCTGCTTCTCTATTCTGTGCATGTAATATTTACATAATAAAAACAGGCATCGCAATAGCATTGATTTAGACCAACACAAATATTTGCAGCCAATCTGCAGCTATTCTTACATTTTGAAGAAATGCATAAAGTAGAAGTTTTCATACATTTCTGCCCAACATGTGTACTTCCAAGATTAAAGCTTTGTTTTGGAATCAAAATACTGGGGCTCACTAATACCATTTCTATTAAATTAAATGGAAAAAAATAATTTCAGAGATATAAACATTTCTATTTAGTACATATTTCAGAAGAGAACGTGACAGAAAGCAAACTGACAGTTGTTTCTTACTTCATGCTTCATGTACTGTATTTTTTGTAAGTGAATGCTAAACCAAGAATAACTTTTTTTTGCACTGGTTTTATTGTTGCTACTTAAATTCTTATCTACCCACACAGTTTATATGGTAAATTCCAGTGGCAAACAGATAAGCATAAGGTTCTGTTTTTTCCACACTCAAAGTTTAAAACTAACCTCAAAGTTAACTGTGGTATTCACAGACAAAACAAACCAAAATTAGGCTAAGCACATCAAAGACCTATTGCTGTAACAGAAAAATCCTGAAGTCACCCAGTACAGACATCTGGAGTACAATTTTGCATCTGGGACAAGCAACTTAAACCCAGGAACTGTCAAGACTTTCTTGCAGTTCTTATTCTAGAGGCATATTTAAATGAAATCTGGATACTGAAGTTATTCCATCACTGAGGTTACACCAAATGATAAAACCAAAAATCTATTTGTACATTGGCTGGAACTTTCCTACATTCCAAACAGAACAAAAACACTAAAGACCAAAATTCAAGGCTTTTCAGCTCCAAGAACTTGTAACAAAATCCCCAAACTTTACTGCTACACTAAATCCAAGGTTATCTTGTGTTTTCATTTCTCAATAATAGCTTATGATTCTCAGCAAGGCAGATATTTATCAGATAAAAGGACAACTGCTCTTAAGTGTGTTCCAAGTTGGACAGGGTGAAGCAATGACTGCGGAGGGGGGGAGGAAAAATCAAATATCCACATGGACTGACAAAAAACAGTGTAATGATAAAAAAATACCTCTCCCCACTATTAAAAATTCTAGCAATGGAATCCTGAAATGTGATGCATGTCTGACCTCCTCAGGTTAGACTCACATAGCTGCATAGTATGGGCCGAACTCTCTGCAGATGTTTGAGCTACTTCAGCAAAAACTGAAAGATTTCAAGCAATAGTTTATCTGGTTAAGTGCAGCAAATACACACTTCACCCTCCTTCACAACATCACATTCCACACTTGCCAATTTTCCACATCAGATAGAAGTTCACTGTCTAAATACAGTTTGGAAAATGACTTCCCAGGTTTACACTTGCTTACAAAAAACTGAGATTAAAGACTTACCATGGTGTACAGTTACTAGGCAGAGAATTAGTACAGGATTCAGTATAATGTCAGTACCTCTCTGAAGTCCTTCTAGGGGTGTTTAGGTTGCTTATTAACCCAAGCCTCAGCACACCTGCTTTGGCATGGAAAGCAAGGCAGCTGACTCTTTAGAAGTCATTGGAAAATGAACTCTAGAGCCCTACCTACAACATCATAAGAAGCCCGACTAGAGATGGTCAAGTGTCAGAGTAACTCATGTTTGGTATCCAATTACATGGAGCTACATCCTAGTGCAACCAGCAGCACCTTGCTTCAATACCAGGTGTACCCAGCTTCTTTCCTTTGAGGCATTAAGCACTCATTTCAGCACACCAAAATAAGCACCTTCAGTTTAATCCTCAAATTATACCTCAGCATCTCATTAGGAAAATAACCACACTTCAATGTATTTTTTAAATGTTGCAAGACCACCTGCATTAGAGATTGTGAGGCACTGATGTACAATATACACCAGGCAGAGACATGTTAAAGAACTTTTTTTGCCTGCTCTTGCTTATTGTGTATCCCTACTATCTTTTCTTAGGCATACCTACCTGACAATTCTTGCAAGGTACAAGATTTGGCATAGCAAGTGAACATGAAAGTTATTAATAAAAATGGGTATTGCCCCTTTAAGTACATGCACTGAAAGATTAAGTGACATACTTCAAATCTGCAAGATACTATAAAAGAAAATGAAAAGCCAAACAATTTAACAGAATGGAAAAAAGGCCTGCATTGTATTTCTTATGTGAATAAACAACAACAAGCTCCTTTATTTTCCCATACCATTAGTTCAGTTTGTCAAGAAATTATTTGCTATTTCAGAAAGGTCCACTTGTATTACTCAAATGGTTCCTTGGACTATACCTTTTTACTACATTTTAAATTGGGGATTCAAAATTTGATGTCCTAGAGACCAGTGACACATTGCTTTCTTTGAAATATCAAGGGAAGAATTAACCTCTCAAATTTAAACAAAATGAAAAATCCTAAACAACACAGCTTCATGTTCCACTCTACACAATTATCCAGAAAAATGCTTAATAATTGAAATTATTATTATTATAGTATTATCTCATATTCTTTACAGTTCCATAGATCACACTTCCATCACTGTAATCCTCTAACTCTACAAGATACATTACAACTCCTGGAACAGGAGGAAAACAGCTGTACAACTAAGAAAACCAGAGAACCATCACCAGCACCTGTTTGCTATCCTGAGCAAAGAAATGTCAAGACCTGCTATCACTGGCCTAGAAATTAAAACGTTGCCAAAAAAAGGTAGACTTTTTTTTTTTTAATTACCAGGAAAAGCACTTTTGGCTCAACTATCTTGTAGTGAAATAAGTCTCACCTTTGGCCCATGAGATGATTTCTTCTTCACTTCAGAAAAAGACAGGGAGTTACTGGGAAGGCTGGGGAGATGAAGGCTCTGCCCTGAAGAAAACGATGTGCCATCTGACATTACCATCATCTGTTGTAAGAGGGAAAGCACGTCAGTAAACATTACTAACAAGAGAAGACTCTCGCCTGCCTAGCAAATCACACTGGTAGGAGAATAAAAGTCCAACAAACAATATCCATGTTTCTTCTCAAGAGGGGGTAGTTTAATGAAATCACACTCATAATCAATAATGAATTTCCCCCCAAAAAAATTCTGGTTTTTCCCATTATATTAACTGGTAAACAGTCTTCCTGTCTGTATCCTGACCCATGAGCCTTCCCAGCCTATCCTCTCTCCCTTCCCTGAGAGGCAGAGGAGGCAGAGTGAGTGACTAACCATCTTAGCCAAGGTTAACCCACCACAAAGATACACTGTAAAAACAGATTGAGGTTTTAAAGTAAAAGCAGTATGGCTTTAATTTCAGCTTCTAACTTCAGGCTTCTGTGTTACCTAGAGAACAGTAAACTGTGTGGCTGGTAAGCAAGCAGCCAATTTGCTGTTAAGAGGGTCTAGCTCCCTTTCTTGATTTTAAAGATTTAAGAACAAACAGATCATTTCCAGAAAGCACAAGTAAAGCAGCTATTACTGAGCAGTTACCTGACTGTAGATTATTCCTTCCATCTGTGGGAACACAGTTAAGATCTTGTCTTCTTCTACAGTGCTGCTCTGTCTGGATTTTATGATTCCTACCACAGCCATTCATTTATCTACTGGTTCAAGGTTCCAAATGCTAGAGACAGCTTACCTGTCTGACAACATGTCCCTCTTCCCAAAGATTCCCATGCACAAAGTGACACTGGTTTTGTGGATATCCTATGTGGTTATCCTTACCTCTTCAGATGACCAAAACATCCTCTGACTCAGGGGACAGGAATGAGCTGACCCATCACATGCCTTATATACATTACATTAAAAATACAGGGAAATCAAGGACACAGATATGTATATTCCAGTGTTACCTCTCCAAATCAGGATGATATTTTATTGCCTACAGATTCCTAAAGACAGGCTTTCAATTGGAAAAAAAAAATATTATTTAAACACCACTCAAAATGAATCTTGTTGCAGACCACTTTGCTCAAAAGATGCATGGTAGCTTGGAGAATATTAAGTGACATATCTAGGTAATAAAAAACTTTTTTTATCAGCCTGTTTTCAACACTGTAGCTAAATGCCAAAGGCAGAGGAATAAGGCAATTACGCTGTTCTAAACCAGAGCCTGCCAAAAGCCAAAGCTCTGAAAAATCATCTGTCTAAAAGTAGCGACATTCTTCTTGCAATCATGGCACTGTTGACTGTAATTAGCTATTGTGAATCACAGTTAAGTGATCCTTTAGCAGGAGAAATACTTTCTTATGTCAATTTGCCAAGATCTTTGGTTGCATTAAACTCAGATGAATACAAGAGAAGGCACAAGTTAACAAAGAACAATCAGCCAGTAGGAAAATATAGCCACATGTGCATACCATAAACCTGGGCAACAGGTAGAGAAAACGAATGTATTTAAGCGTTACTTTTCCTCACAGAGGATGTCAAATGGGTGTTAAATAGTATTGTTCTTTAAGTCAAACTCTGCAGTATTTTTTAAAGCCACAAATATAACAGAACATATCATTTGCATAAAATCAAAGTCATTCAGAAAAAGCAAAGTTACTTATGAATTACAGAGTTTAAGCAGATATTTTATTGCCCAAAATAGTTTTGTTCATACATTCATATGACAAAAAGATGCATATCCATCTAGAAGAAAAATTTAGTCAGGAGGATCAGGGCTTGCCCTACCCTGAAATTAAAATCAAAGAAACAAAAGCTCTGCCAGAAATTCTTTCTCCTAGTGTTGGAAGCTGCTGTTTTCTCCCTGAAGCATAGAAGTCTGATCCAGTGAAATGAATTCACTGAGGTTTAACCACTGCATAAATTTTCTTTTTAAACATTTCAGTTTAGAAGTAGTCATATATTCATGATTGTATGTACACAGGCATTCTTAGAAAGTTGACTTTTTTCAAAGTGTATGGACTTCTAAGTTATGTTATTTTCTGGCAAGTATTTGACCATTAACAGTCTCCATACTGCAGACTGTTTCAAAATAGGATGACAGTCTACAAAAAGATTCAGAGGGATGGGATGAACAGCATTAATACCATGTGAGGTCTGATTTGACAAATCTCCTGGTACATACAGAATAAAATAAATCCTGTAGGGGTTTTAGAAAATAAAATCTGGACAAACCAAACCATGAACCCTAAAAAATTCAGTGTATTGAATCCATCATAAACCCTATAAAAATAGCAACTGTAAATTCAAAATTTTAATGTGATTAACAATGCATGCAGTTAAGACAGACTACAGACTATACCATATTTAAAGCTGACAAAAAGATGACAAGAGACCAAAAAGTCTCAGGTAAAATTAACTCTTTTGCCCCTATAATAAAAAACACACACTTCTCTTCCAAACAGGTTTCTGACAGAAGAAGTATATGCTCCTCATTTAAGGCCATTATAAAACATAAAAAATAAAAAAGATCTTCGATCTCTCAAAGAAATACATTTGTATTAGTGCTAAATAGCATCTAATATGTTTGGTTTTTTTGTCATCTATGTAGAAAGTCCCTATATTAGCAACACCTTTTTGAACTAATATGCATTTACGTTTTGGCTAAATTTAGGGAAACGACAACTATACATCCAGTTTAAGTTTACTGGAAGACCTCAGCTGACAGAATTACAGCAATTTCTGCAGTGGATAGTTGCCCTTCATCCCTGCACTAGTCAAACACAGAATCACAGGCTGGCACATGTACTTGCACCAGCTTTCAGAGTAAGTCCCTACTTTTGCATTGCTTCTGCCACTGGCAACACACACTGCTTGACTGTGCGTGTATCTATATATGTGCCTCTATTAAACCATGGCTACACCCAGGATGGAAAAGGTGGGAATAATCATATCACAGCAAGACACTACTGCAGCAAGAATGCAAGCTCACTGATAGCATAGTAATAACTCTCTAACACAGCCTATATGCAATTTAACTTTTTTTCTCCTCCCTGCATTGCAATTACCCTGCTGTCTTACAGCTGCCTAGAGATGCAGCTCAAGAGAAGGGGACTGTAGCCCATGCTTGAGCCAGGCAGCCAAGGATACCTGCAGCTGGTATTTGGCTGGACCCACAATGAACCACTTCAGTGACAAAACCCAGGACTAATTCTTCTCGGTCTCTTCTGAAGTCAGCAGCGAAGTGGGATTAGCCAGACTAGTGGAATAAGATATTGACTGGTGTCAATGAAAGTGAGATGACAGCAATCTTTAAACAAATCAGTTTAAACGGCCATATAACAACACTCTGAATTTAACAATAGTAAAAAAAAAGTTCTAGTTACAGTTTTCCTGTTCCCTCACAAATTTTGCTTGACTTTTTTTAACAGAGCAGAGATCTAGCTAATCTCCAAGCTTGTCTTTCATGGGCAAATGGTGACAGTAATAGTGTGTAAAATGAGGGCATTAGCTGGGCTTGTTCACAAATATTTTAAGGGTTTTTAAAAAGTGTGCTTTATGATACCTGGTACTGGATAAGCACTAGAAAGACAACTGAGGGAGAATAGTTGGTTTCACAGTTTAATACGAGGGTACAAATAACGCAGGAACAGCAGAATAGGCTGTATGGAGACACATTTCAAGAGAGGTGATTATTCCACTCTACTCTGCACTGGTGTGGCGTCACCTTGAGTCCTGCAGGCAGCTGTGGCACCTCAGCACAAGCAGGACATCATCAGACTACAGGAGTGTGTACAGAGGAGGGCAACCAGCAGGGTGAAAGGCAGCTGACATCACTTGACTCTTTTTAGTTTAGAGAACAGAAGGCTGAGAGATGACTCCACTGCAGCCCACAACTTCCTCAAGGAGGGGCTGCTGATCTCTCTCATATAAACAAATTGCTCTGCTCTAGTTCACAAATTTGCTCAAATTGCCTCTAGTTCACAAAAAACTCACTTCACTATATCCTTCAGCTGTTAAGTTTGCATTTAAAACCTTTGTCTACCAGTTGCTTTAAATGCAAAACAACTTTGCAAGGGCAAAGGAAAACCTACTTTTTCCCCAAATCAGTGTATAGAGGAGATCCACTGATATTCATATTATTCAGTAGAAATAATCAACCTGAAGTGACCAGTATCTGAGATGCTGGCATCTTAGAAGCATAGAACAGTTGGGGTTGGAAGGGACATTAAAGATCATCTTGTTCCAACACCCCTACTGTGGGCAGGGACACATTTCACTACATCAAGCTGCTCAAACTGCCATCCAAACTCCAAGGAATAGGGCATCTACAACTTTTCTGGTCAACTTGTTCCAGTGCCTCCCCACACCCACAGTAAATAATTTCTTCCTAATATCTAAACTTAGTCTTTCAGTTTGAAGCCAGTCTCCATTATCCTAACAATACCTTCCCTTGTACAAATTTTCTCTTAGGGTATTTCTAAGGACATTCCGATCTGCTACTCAAGACAACTGAATGCTATGGAAAGAAAAACTGCCATGCATTTAATTAAAGTAGTTACATGCACTTCTGAAAAAGGAATGGATCAGGGAACAACTGTGCACTACCAATTACCATAATATAATCAGGGAACTCTCCTCCGCTATTCCTCTTCCAAAATTTGGGGGAAATTATGAAATTGCAATACCTAATGAATACAATAGCTTGTACTAAACCTACTAACAATTTATTCTGAAGTTTCCTTACAAAAAAGAAAAAACTGACATTTTGGAGACAACATTTATACAGGCTTGACAACATGGAGTACCTGTGTACCCAACACAAATAACTCACTTTCAAAACAAAACCTTGCTTTTCATGTCCTTATAGCATGAGGAATGTGGAACAATCTTTAAATGTTCCATGGAAAGCTGATCTTCTTTTATTGCACATTACTACAAATGCACCTCGGCCAGGGCAACCTCTAGTACCAGTCTAGGTTGTGGGACAAACAAAAGGAGATGAAGGGCAGCCCTGGGGAGAAGGACTTGGGGGT